ATTTTTGGTATTCAATTGTAATATTATCTGGAAACAATTGTTAGTAAATGGTTTAACAGTTTAATAAACTTTCAAATATTATTTCTTCAGCTTAAATTTTCTAAGGTAATTGTAAAAGAATGAAGGATGCATAAATTTAACACCTTGTAATAATTTTTTTCCTCCTAAAAAAAGAATTATAATAAGATGGAAAGTAAGATTTGACATACCTGTTATCATATCTGTTAATAATAATGAAAGAAGTGATGATGATAAGAAATGCATTCTAAAACGAAAAATATTGTTAAAATAATTATTACGATAAATTCAAAATAAAACTCTTTATCATTAGTTTCAAACTTTCTGTTCCGAGATATTTGCAAATTTTCAGTCATTTTCAAATGAACGAAGGAAATGAAATGGAAAAATAAAATTTCATCATTTCATTTTTTAACATTTCAGATATTTTAGAACGATTTAAAAAGTAAACAGTACAAAAATTGCGGAAAAAAAAAACATTAAAAATCGCAGTTTATTAACAGCTGCTGTTAGGTAATATAAGAAAGTTAGCTGGAATAAATACGTTTAATCGTACTTTTTAGCTTAATAAACAAGCCAATTTCACCGTCATCTTTACCATCCATCCAGCATATTTCCGGTTTTTCGATTGGTAACTCCTCCTGGTATTATTTACTTTTATTTGAAGGTATGTTATTTTCATCCTGTCTAATATATGCCATAATTAAGAAATACCCCAAACTGTTTATTCATTGACTCATCCTGATCTTAAGTAAACAGTTTATCTTTTTCCATTTTTTATTCTTTTTTTTTTCTCGTGAGAATTTCTTCAATTGATTAAATCCTTCTCAAATATTATTTAAACGTTATATAAAAGACGAATAATTGTTGTTATTTATTTGGGTGTTTACATTTGTAAGTTTATTACAATTTTAATTCCATTGGCTCATGAAGCTTACAGCTAACTTTGACAAGCATTCAACAATGCTAATTAACATACTCAAATCACTGTTTATCAGTCTATCGACGACTAATTCCATCATTCTCAGAAATTATGACCAAGTAAGCAAAATTTGTTGCATATGTAGAAGTTTAAAAATCAAGTTACAACGCCATTACACTTTCCCAAAAAAAAAAATAGAAAAATATACTTCTCATGAATGTTCTCATCTGCCATTCAAGTTGTCAATATATCCTGTAACTAACATTAAATAGCTATCCGATAGTGAATGCCTTTTTACCCTAAAGATTCCAAGACCATTTTCTTTATCGTGATTCATCAATGTTTTTCAACTAACTTTTGATACAGAAAAGCTGCTTTCACTTGGATAATGCTAATCTAAAAGACAACGAATCGAAATCTTAAGTACTATCGTCAATTGAATCATTTATTACAATAATTTGAATTTCCTTTATTCAGTGCGGTTTTTCAAATCACAAATGAATCTTACGCTATTTGCAACGGTCAATCAATATAGGTTGAAAAGTTATCAATTAAATACCAAATTATCAATTTTTCAATGCAATCGCTGGAATCGCTTGAAAGAATAAGGAATCAGGAATCAGTAATTCTTTTGTTGTCAATTTGATATCGATGGATATAATACGTTGTGTAATGTAAAAAAAGTAAGCCAAAATTTGTGCGTCCATTATATGTCTATGTATTCTAACAAAGAGCTCCATTCCACCACATACGTTAATAAAGGCGATAATTCTTGTGACCTCAGAACTGTGTACCAGAATTCTCCCTTTTCGAGGAAGAGGAAGCGTAGGATCCTGAGCACCAAAAGGGTTTTAACGATGTATTCCAACTAGTTGGATAGACGATATCAAGCACCATTTTCATGTTGTAATCTTTATTAATTTATCGGAATCATAATTGCTGTGTTCGTTATTGTATCAATGAACTTATTGCAACAAATGTTTATTTATCCAAGTTTGAGGGATTATCAACCAAAGAGGCAGGAAAAACCCCAAATCCTTGCCACAGTTGAAGAAAATCGTTGACAAAAAGACTGTGTACATCTTTAACTATATTTTATGATAGATGCATTAAATAATCCTTTTTAAATTTGCGATACAATATAATTTACTAAGTTTTTCCAATTCTGACCAGCAAGTTCTTCCAAGCTTTTTCAAGATTTTCTAAGACATCGTTCATCCCACACATTTGGGATGATCAACTTCTGATTTATCACTGAGCTTTCCTGGTAAAATATAGTTGTTCAAATGCTCATGAAATGCGTAAATTTCGTTATTCTGTTATTACATTTAAATTTTATCCAAAAATTATCAGCTCTTTTTTTTCAAGAGGTAAAATAATTCTTTTTCGAAATAACAGGCTAAAAAATAACAGTCAGATTACTTCTAAATCACAATCAACCACAATGCATGCTATTCACTGTCAAACCAAATGCAAACGCAAAAGAAATTAAAAAAAATATGAAAAGAATCAGACGGAAACAAAATTTGCAGAGTCATTAATTGCGACCACCTGCAGTCAGTTGCAATTAATTACAATTGATTACAACATGAAATCGAGTATAGTATAGCAAAATGCTAGCCAAAAAATGGATAAATAATTATATGTTGGATGACATTCTCTTTAACTTTTTTATATCAGAAGGAATGTTTCTTTTGGTTATTGAATTTTGATAATAAAAATAAATTTCCTCAATATTTACAAAGTTCAAATTCAGAATACAAAATATTAATTATGTTCTTTGATCTTCTCTATCGTCATTTCTATGAAGCTATAATTTTATTACATTAAATCCGATTTTATAGTTCAGTTTTTCGATGCTGTGCAATAAGGTACTTATAAAGGATTGTAATGATGAACTTAACAACTGTAATTAATATCTGATGATATAGAATTGACAATCACAAAGTGTTACACATAAGAATTTATGTCCCGTAGTTAGATCTTCAAAATGACATGAAGTTGGACTAAATGCTAAAATCCAAAGTTAGAATTGATGTTAATTGATAAAAGTTCTCAAACCTTGTCCGTCCAATTATCCCGTCTAAATAAAAATGAATGATTTCAAAAATGGACGAGAATTATGGCCTCTACTCTTTGCAATACTGAAATCAGTTGTATGGAGTTGAAATTTTGAATTTATTAAAAAAGTAATTTGTTTCCTACATATTAGGCATCATAAATAATGTTTGTGGTTAGAAAAAAGAAAACAAAAGAAAAAACTTTTATTCATCTAAAACCACCTTCGAAATATTTCATTAAATCAAAAAGGAAATTAGAGCGATTTTAATGAAAAACGAAGTTTTGAACATTAGTGGCAGAAAGGAAAAGCTATTACCAAGAAAATTTTAAGAAAAGGTCATTACCAGGAAATTTATTGCATTCCTTCATATTGTCCTAAACTCAGGAAAAATCATTGCAATGTGATCTGTATGCTGGATTGCAGCGAGAAAGCAGCATGCATTAAAATTGGTGGTACAAGCATGCAATGAGTTGCCAAAGCAATCGCTTATCAGAAGTAAACTTACTCTGTGGGATGCAAGTGTTGTAAACAAATATTGGATCCGTAAAAAAACCAAATGAATTTTCGAAGGACTTCAACCGAAAAAAAATGTACCATTCCATGTGGAAAGAATTGGTCCGTCACAAGGGATGCAAAAGAAATATTCACTTCACTGCTTCATTCGGAACAAATTCAAGTTTACATTGGGTGCTATTGACGATCCACTCAAACTCACTTTCACGAATTTTATCCGGCAAATCCTATTTTATTAACTTCGATAGAGAATTTCAACTGTTTTGCAAAGTATCACGTCATGAGCGATCTTGGAATTTCACGACGAACCTGTAAATAAGCACTATTTTTAAACAAAATTATCATTTTATCAAATTTATAGCTACGAAGTTTGCGCAAACTTTGCTTTGGAATGTTCGCGGCTCTCCAAAGTGAATAACTTGTTATGTTGTCGTTTGAGTGAGAGATATCCATAGTACACAAGCAATGAATGCGCGTTGTTCGTTTTTTTATGCTAACATATTTAGAAAACCATTTACAGGAAAAAATTTCTCCCTTGTGCAATTTTCGATCATCAAACTGTATTATTTCCTACACGCAACTATTTAGTGCACCAGTAAATTGAATATATTTCAGAAGTGGCAAGAAAGTGTTCTCTTCAATATGCATTTCATCTGTTTTGTCCTTCCAACTGAACAACATTCAAACTGCGGTAACTTCATTTAAAATTAAAAATACAACCCAACACCACAATATTTCGAAGATTTCAAATTTTAACATAATATGAGATTGATTTCATATAATTTGAGGAGACGCAAAGAGAACAAACAGAGTTGTTGGATTTGTCAGTGTAGAGATTGAATGGAGAACAAATACGACAGTGGAAATTATTACTCGACGAAGCGAACAAAAAATATACAGAATTAATGAACTTAATAGCCAAGGAAGAGAATGTTGAACGAAAAAGTATGAGTAAAAAGAAGAAATCACAATGTAATGTATATTGTCGGAAAAACTCCGAAAATCATAATACAAATTTTCTGTCGGATTACCGAAATTAAAGTTACGTTCAAACAAAATTTCCACAATATCCAGCAAACGGAGTGACGAAATCTTGTAAGTAAAATTAAAGCAATAAAGAGGATGTAAGCTAACAATGGACAGCGCAAAACAAAAACGTCTCAGTACCTATACAATGGACAGTGCTAAAGACCAGCCATACATACCTCTATGATAACCCCGATGGACCTTACAAAACTCCTCCCCATTCCTTATATATTTATGAAAAAATCCCGAGACAGACAGTTCAGTTCAGTTTTTATAATCGAGCAGACGATACATCTTCGCTTATTCTCCACGACTGAACCATAAACAACATCTTCGCATATCCGCCACCACTGGACAACAAGCTGCGATATTCTTTCTACTCGCTAAATGCATCATCTACCAGAGTTCACTTTCCGCAGCATATCCCCAATTCAACGACCGTAACGCGTTTGGAATCTTATGCAGCAGTTTCCTGATATGCAACTTGCAAGCCATATTTGTACACATCACTTGGTGTACCATTGTCCTGAGCACGTAAGTTTCACTTGCATTGCGGAAAATTTTTGCTTTTTGTCTTTTTTTCCAAAAACTTCCTTTCATTTATTGTTTTATTCGAAAAATTTAATTTCAGCAAATCTCCAATACTATCATCACCGAAACTGTTTACCGTACGATTGGTTGGCGTTTTTTTGAACGGAGGATGGTTTGGAGCACTTGTTATGCACTTCCTCACAGCCCTCAATAGATTTTATGCTTTCGTATATGCGACAAAATACAATCAGTTATGGTCGCAGTCCAGGACTTTCAAAATTATAATCATCTCTTGGACATTTTCAATGGTCTATTGCACTCATCACTTATATAGTAAGTCTGTTAATAAGCTACATACCCTATTCAACTCAGATGATCTGGTGATATCTTT